GTTTCTCATACATGTATGAGCCCCCACGCCACCAAATTACGTCTGGGACCGGCAGCCCACCCACACCACTGTTCCCCCTGCCACGTGGGTGCTGCTTGCTGCCAGCACAGCGCCTGCAAGAGCGCGGTGATGGATCATTACAACTCGCACACAACCATCTAAGTAAAAGCCTTATTAAGAGTTCATTCATTTTATAAACTCTCGGCGCGATCCACAGAGGGAAGTTAGATTGCCCAGTCTTACAATATTCTGTGTAAACACTGACACGCGTCTAGTAATTTTAACTAGATCATTTTGCAAGGGAGACCAATGGTGGAACAAAAAAAAAAAAGCCAAATTAAACATGGGGAAACATTCACTGGGAGAGGCGTTAAGGAAGTGAGCTGAAAAATACAGAGGAGGATGGACAGAGAGAGAGGTACATGAGACAAATGGACTTACCTCTGAAGCCACAAAACCTAAGTCTGTAATTCAGTATCAAAATCCTTAGGTCCACAAGATGGGGTGGGAAGGGGGGAAACGTCCTCCATAGCCATCTTCTGTGCGTCGCTGAGGCTCTGGAGGCCTTAGCAGTCTGCTTCCCAGAGCACCTCTCCTCCTTCTCCAGCAGTCACCAACCCAGTCACAACCACGTGGCAGCTCCTCCGGTCCCGTCTCGTCCCCACTGTGCTGGCCGGCCCTTGGCGTCCTCCCTGCTTGCAGGACGCCGAGCGCTTGCTTCACCGCTGGGCGCTTCCCTGTTGCCTCCCGCTCCCAGGGGCTGGGGGCACCACCCCAGGCCCCCCGGGCTGGGAACCAGCGGGCCGCCGGCGGCGGGGTTGGCAGCGATCTTCGGTTAGGGACAAGCAGTGAGTCCACAGTAGGTTGACAACATACACACGCGCATGAGCGCACACACACACAGGAACACCTCTTTCCATTTTCCAGGATGGATTTGTTTGTTGTTTTGTTTTTTTTTTTTAAATCCTTTTTTTTCCTTTTTGCAAAAAAAATGCAAGCAAAAGAGAAAAAAAACCAACCAAAAACCCAAGGTTTTCTATTGAAGGTACATCTCTTCTTCAATATGAAGACATTAACTGGATTGAGTCGGATCTCCCATGCAGTGGTCAGCGAAGTCCTTTGGTAGTTGCCGGAGCGGCACCCGGGTAGGACGGCAGGGAGCTGCGGAGGTGTCTGAGGACACTTCCACCCGGTCTGTGAGCAGAGAGGGGAGTGGAGCGAGCAGGAGGGGCCAGGGCTGGGAGGGAGGGTGAAAGAAGAAAAGCAAATCAAGGAAGGTGGTTTATCCGGACGGGACGCTCCATCTCGTGCCGCTCCCTGCCCCAATAGCCCCTTTCTCCTTCTCAGTTTCGACCACTGCTCACCAGTGGTGGGATTGGAGTCTGGTCTCTAGGGTTTGGGTTTGATTCCCCAACACGCATTGGTTTGTCTTCATTGTTTTTTGTCTTTTGTTTGTTTGTTTCATTTTTTAAATATATGATTTGTACATATTTATATGTATTTATACGCTGTTCCCCACCATGACAATGGTAAGTGTGCTTCTGTTGGCGAGGAACGGAAGTCACCAGTTAGAGATGAGTCCCAGGAACATCCTCCGCCTGCGGTCGCAGTCCCCAGGCAGCGGCGGCACCTCTCCAAATGCTGCCCCGCAGCGCCCGTCAGTTCCTCCCCTCCCACCTCTGCCCCTCGCTGCATGCCCTCCCGGCCCCCTCCCCGTTGAACGAGGGGTGTCATGCCATCGAGGTCGGAGACTGACTCATCTGTACTCGCATGGACTGGACGCTGTTCAGGATCTTCTTCTGGTGCCCAGCCAAAGTCACCCCTATTCTCAGGAGGTCTCTGGAAGACAGACAGATAGGGGAGTATCAATGGGTGGCCGAGGGTTGGTGTATCTGGTCTGAGCAAGGTGAGGGAGGAAAGCCCAGCTGGACTGTGTCTCTCAGCAGAACACACACAACCCAAGCACAGCCCTGTGAGCATCACCAGGGCGAGGAGGGACCCCAAGCAGCTCCCAGCTGGTGAACACGGCCACCTCCAGACACAGGGTGCTGCTGCGGACCGCTGTGACGGATGCCCACACCCTCCCTTCCATGGGTGCCTCGCACCAACCTTCCCACCTCCCCACAACACCAGGCAGCTTCCAGCCAGCCCCGGCGCGGCACCCAACTCACTCGGACGTCATCTGGGCGACAAGCTGCAGGGAGGTGAAGCCCGCGGTCAGGAAGCTGTCCCTGTACTGGCTCATCTTCACGGCACTCAGCCAGTCGTCTACTGAGGTAAAGGCAGTGAAGTCGGGGATGGAGCGGTCGAGGAGGGGCTGAGAAGGCCTGCAACAGGGGACACACCACTGGGGACAAGCCTGGCCAGCGCCGAGGGGCAGCCACACACAAGCCCAGCCGGCATACGGCACTGTTCCCCAATCCCCCCCCGCCACGCCCTCATGTTGCTGGCACCTGCCT